CCCCCAGCTCCCTCAGGAGTTTCTCCAACCCCTTCTTCTCCTGCTGCTCCAGCCCCATTCCCAACTCCTGCCCCTTCTCCTGCAGAACCTGGAGATGCACGACCGCATCGAGCACCTGATCGAGAAGCAGGTCAGCCGGGGCGGGCACAGCTCCAGGGCCCGCTCCAAGTCGGAATACGTGAGCAGGTAACGGGGGGGGACATGGAATTCCAGCTGGGATTGAGGGGGAGGGGAAACACCTGGCTGCTCTGCAGGACCTGGAGGGAGGTGATGCTGGATTGGGGGGATGCTCCTCTGGATTTGGGGATGCTCTTGGATAGCAGGGATGCTCCTCTGGATTTGGGGATGCTCTTGGATAGCAGGGATGCTCCTCTGGGTCTTGGGGATGCTCTTGGATAGCAGGGATGCTCCTCTGGGTCTTGGGGATGCTCTTGGATAGCAGGGATGCTCCTCTGGGTCTGGGAATGCTCTTGGGAAGCAGGGATACTCCTCTGGATCTGGGGGTGCTCTTGGGAAGCAGGGATGGTCCCCACAAATTGGAGATGCCCTTCTGGAGCCGGGGATGCTCTTGGGAAGCACACCCTCCTTTTTCCCACATCTCCACCCCTTCCTCCCCTCCCTCAGCAGAGCCCGGGGCAGCCAAAATCCCTCCTTTGGTTTGGATTTCTGGGGAAGAAAGGGGTGGGATCCATCACCCCCTAAGACTTTTTTTTTCCTGAAAAACCCCCCCTTTTCTCCTCCTACAGCAAGAGGCTGACAGGCCCCAAACCGCTGCCTCTGATCCGGGTGGTGGAGACCTGATCCCAGAGAGCTGGGCCGAGCTGGACTCTTCCCCTTTGCCGTGGTTGGCCCGGATTTTCCGGATTTTTTCCCTGCTTGGCTCTCGCCCTCCGGCCTGGGGGCCCTCCTGGAGCTGCTGCAGCCCAGGGTGGATGGAGCCCAGGGCGCTCCTGGAGCAGGGAAGGAGGTTTGGGAAGCGCCCAAACGTGGCTGTTCCTTGCGGGATCCCAGCCCAGCTCCCGGGTCTGGAAGTTGGGATAGTTCCACACCCCCCACCCCCCTCTTCCTTCTTGGGAGTGGATTCGCTGTCCCAGGCTGGGTTTGGAGGGAGGGTCTCCCTCTCCCCATCGACCAGATTTCCCCTCTCCCCTCCTGGGGGGTCGAAGGCCACCCTTTTAATTTTGGGTTTTCCAAACCCTCAAATGCGAAGATTCCTCTTCCCAAAGAGAGAAATCCCTTTTTTCCCCCCCATTTCCAACCTCCAGCACCCACCTGGCCGAAAAAATCCGTGTTTAGACCCGTTCTCTGTGCCCTGTGTGTGACCCCAGAGGCCGTTTGGGGCACTCCCTTGTATTTATTTCCCTAAATTATCGGTGTCTCCCAAGGATGTGGCGACAGGCACAGGCTGCCAGCCCCTCATCCCGCCTCCAAAATTCCCGGGAATGCGGCCCAGGACTGCCCCATCCCCACGTTTGACCTGGGAAACACCAGCCAGCTCCCCGG